TGTCTGGTTCCAACCCTAGCCTACTACTCATAAGCTTAGTGATTGTTGGACACATTTTTTTAGCCTCCCTGAGCTTCAGACACCTCATCTGTAAATTGGGAGTAATATTATCCTTTCAGGGTCATTCTGAAGAATAAATGAAATCACAGTGGAGTTGGTTAGGAGTGCAAGGTCACACTGAATCCAGAGTCCAGTATGTAATACTGTGTGATCTTGGGCAAGTTTTTTAGCCTCTCTGTGCCTCTGAATCCCAACCCTAATCTATAAACTGGGAATACTGATAGTATCTATTTCATAAGGACTAGTGATTAAAAGAGATAATCTATGGTGATTGCCAGTGGGGGGTGTGAAGAGGGGCATGGTTGAAATGGTGAAGGTGGTCAAAAGGTACAAACCTCCGGTTTTAAGATAAGGAAGTCTTGAGAATATATTGTACAGCATGGTGACTGCAGTTAATAATGCTATATTATATATTTGAAAGTTGCTAAGAAAGTAGATATTAAAAATTCTCATCCCAAGGAAAAAAAAAGTATAACTGTGTGGTGATGGCTATTAACTAGACTTATTGCGGTGACCATTTCACAATGAATACAAATATCAAACACTATGTTGTACAGCTGAAACTAATGTAATGTTATTTGTCAATTATATCTCAATAAAGAAAAGAAATCATCTATGAATGATACCTGGGACAATTCAGGGCCCCAAATTTGTGCTCGGCTAATGTTAGCTATTGTCATAATTTATGGAAAGTAATTAACAGAGTTCTTGGCACAAAGTAGAACTTAATGCATGAACCCACTTCCTATCTTTTCCTCAGGTCTCATGAGGTTGTCTAAATGACTGCCACAGCTTCTGTCCCCATCCATGTAATCCTGTTTTGGATCATAATACTTTACCCAGGGCCTTTGAATGGGCTTGAAAACAGATTAGTCCACCAAATAAAGACATCAAGGTTCCCTGACTTCTAAAATGTCTTCTCAAGGGGCACCTGGGTGGCTCCGTTGGTTAAGCGTCTTACTCTTGATTTCAGCTCAGGTCATGATCTCACAGTTTATGAGATGGAGCCCTACATCAGGCTCTGAGCTGTCAGTACACAGCCTGCTAGGGATTCTCTTTCTCCCTCTCTCTCTGCCCCTCCCCCCCCCCGTGTACATGCTCTCTCTCAAAATAAGTAAACATTTAAAAATAAATAAATAAATAAGTAAAATGTCATAGCCAGCTGGATGACAGCAGGGTCTGTAACCAATCCAATACTTTCTTTTTTGATATTTACTCCCAAGAAGAAAAATTGTCTCCGTTTATTCCTAGATTGTGCATTTCTTTTCAGCTAGCTGCATTCCTTTGCTTTCTGTTTTGTTTGGTTTTTCCATGAACCAACCATTAATAGTTAATGAGGAGCTCAAGAAGTAGAGGCTGGGAAAGGAAGATTCCTCCACGGCACATATGAATGTTATTCTTCTTCTGACTATTTTTACTGTTACTGGGTAGAGGAATGAAGGTAGTCTGGAAAGTAGATCCTTACAACTATTTTTATTAGGGACCCTGAATGTATATTTGACCAGTCACAAAGCATACATAATTTAGATAAACATGTGAAGAATGATGTAACAGGGGTAAAAGAAATTCTATGTATCAGTAACAAAAAGTTGTTTAAACTATAGGCCCTGTATAAGCCTAACTTTCTTTATACTTGAGATACACTTCATTAGTTAGTAAATCTCATATAAAATCAGGGGTCTGAGAAATGTCTGACAGGATTCTATATTTCCAAATTAAATATTTTCTTCATTCAATTGCCCCTGAGTAGGTAGCTCTGCGATTTCCAAGTGCCAAATGATAATTTAGTGTACACATACACATACCATAGAAATTTAAAAAATTTAATTTTTAAAAAGTTAAGAAATTGGCTGTATCTGATAACATCAAGGAAAGGACAGGTCTGATTGGGGGCTCCCCCTGAAGACTGGTTTTTATTGGCCTGTTGCTCCATAGAATAACCTATAATTTTTGTGCTTTTTTTTTTTTTTTTAAACCATAGAGGAAGAAACGGAGCCTGGCCTCTTTTAGTGATTTTGCCTGGTGTTTGGGTCCTGTGGGAATTTGCTAGTTTGCTTTATGGCCTTTGGCCAGCCCTGGTGGGAAGTCTAGAGAAGAATTCAATTCTGCTTTTTCCCAGAATACTTGTTGACGAACTCAGCAGCACTGAAGTGTTACATGAGTCTTTGTGTCCCCCAGAGTCCAGTGATGAGGGGACATGAGACCAGTGAGGGTCAGTGTGTCAGGGAATATAATGTTGGTTCTTAGAATTTACATATTTTTCTCATGAACTTGTAGCAATTTTTAAAACAAACTCAAGAGCTCTGATTTTAGGAGGGAATGAACACACAACCCACTGCCTCCCTTTGGAAGCATTTTAAGCATTTAGCTTTTCGGAAAACAATCACTTCTTTTTGATAACCATGACTTCAAATACCCTTCCTGCCAGGCCGGCTGTGACTCATAAAACAGCAGTGGGTTTCAGGAACTCACCCTTAGAATACGGGTGCTTGTGGTTTCTCATCTCTATAACTGGATAAAATGATACACAGCAAGGGCTTTTGTCTGAAGGATTAAATCCACATTCAGACGCTCACAGCCATGTGTCTTCTGAACTCTTAGGAGGCTTCCCTGTGAAAGCGCCACGGAGTCCCGGTGTTTGACACGGCTGTCAGCAGCCAAATGACCTTCAAAGTTCTCTAACCTAGTGGCTGTAAATAGGACAATGGTCCCACATTTGCTAGTCCACACCCTTTAAATGTAGATCGTTTGTTTTTGACTTCTCAGATGTGATTCTTGCTGCCAGGCTAGAATTTAGGCTGGGTGGTAACACTCGGCTGCCCATGAAGAAGCCCATTTCTTGAAAAGGGTTGGCACTACCTAAACAAATTTTAACCCTGGCTTGCTTGAAAGAACTATTTGTAACTCAGATCAGTTTTCCTGTGGTTAAATGAGTTGCTTCTTGTGGAGATTAAATGAGATACATGTTATCACCAACAGTCATGCTAGATATATTTTGAAATACAAACTTTTACATGCTCCAGGATGACAATCCAAATGTGACTCATGAAATATATTCCTAAATATATATATAATATATTCCTAAAAACTTATGCTTTCTACTATCAATGAGCAGTCAAAATGCAGAAATAGTGATTCTTCCCTCTCACAACAGATTGTGTGTATTTCTAAAATATTAGAAATAAAATTAGAAATGTTTTAATATTGAAGTGGCAATGCTCAGATCTCCGATCTGACTAGTTCTGGATTCAGTCTACTCCCCTATTGGACAGGAATCTGCCTTACTTAGATTTACATACACTTTTCTTCCAAGAATATCTAGTGTCGTGCATATTCATTATGCCACAACAGTCAGGAAGAGAGGTTTGAGACGTTATTAAGGGGAAACTCATGGTAAAAAATTGCATAAGATCCTGCAGTAAGTCAGTAACTGTGATTACATTTTATTTTATATTCCAGTGCCAGTAAACTTTGCAGTGGGCTCCTTGGGATAAGGTACACAAGGCACCTAACATAACACAGGCACTCGGGAAATGATCAATGCTTTTGTGGTGATGAAGAAAACCTGACTTCACAGGCACTCTGCCTGGAAGTTAAGCTAGTGAGGACAAGAGAAAAGGCAGGGTGCTAAAACCTAAACAAAACCTGCCTCCTCATACCTCATGACCAACCAGTCAAACATCTGCTACCACAATAGAGCCAACGACACCCGGATCACAAAGGGTGACCAGCGGGAGAGAAGCTGAGGTCATGAGTTCTAAGCCTCCCACCTGCCACGCTGACATCATTCCCATAGCTGCAACCTGAAAGGTTGTGCATGCAGCTTACTGGGCATGCAAGTTCCCAGGAGGCTCTCTGATTGAGGACAAGTGGCAAAGGGAATCCCTCTTACTCCAGGGAGCTGGCTTGGGTCCTTTTCCCTCCCACCGCCCCCACCTTCATGGTGTGGTCACACTCTGCAGATACAGTCTGGAAGGATTCCCATTCCTCCTCCATAATGTAGGACCATCTGATTCAAGATCAGACCTATGTTTCCAATTCCCAAAGTTGTGGATGCTTTGACTACATGCCTGGCATGTTTCTGAGAAGCCTTTTGGGAACCCTATGACACTCCCAGTCATGCTAGTGGTGTGTTTAGTCATCAACTCCAAATAGTGGCTCTGCTAAGATTGCCACCTGTCCTACAGGAAATGGACTGAAAACACTTCTCATTCCTGCATACCACAAACCCCTGGACAACTGGGAATACTTGTGGGTAATTACCATGCTAGGCTACATTTGAACCGGTGATCTCAAATTAACTACCTTGTGTTGCATTATCTTTCCTCTACTTCATGCCATTCTTTAAATGCTATGTTAAGACTGCAAAGTTATAAAAATGATCTTTCCTGCTTCACCTTAAGAGGCCTTTTTTAGTTGCTCTATTAGAAAAGAATGCAAAATGCACAGCATTTAACAGACTTCCTTTGTAGTGAACAAGTAATACTAAACAATGGTGTTATATAATGGATAGACTGCTTTTTCCTTTACCCTGTACTAATCTTCTCATTGATTTCCCAAAAAGGCAAATGAGAGACTGAGCTACATCCTGTGGTTGTAACCTCTAGGTAAACTGCCCCCAAAGGCAACGGAAGATTTTCCAGAAAAAAAGGCAAAAGAAACAGCCCCATTGTCCTATAGCTGACTTAATTCTTTTTTCTGTGCTCTGAGGGTTATACAATGTACAGCTTGTAGTTTTACAACATACAGAGAAATGAATATGCTCACCATAAGACATTCAGATGTTTTGGGAGCAATAGAGGAGAAATATCAGAAAAGTGACTTAGGTCAGAAGGCGAAAGATTTATGCGATCTGAAGAGAAACCAGAGCATAGAAAAGTGACTTAGGTCAGAACTGCTCATCAGGGAAGATTATTTTTTAAAATATGTACATAAACAGATAAAGAAGAAAGTAATATTTTAATAGGATAGTGAAAAATATAGCAGATTGACAGTGACAGCAGTAAAAGAACAGGAATACAGATATTTTCAGAGGATTAAAATGGTACCTTGTACCCTCCACCAGGCAAGTTTTTATAAGAGGTCTCTAAACAGATCTCCTGTATTGAGTAGGTTTTCCTTGACGCTGTCAAAAATGCTTTATGGTTCTCTACATTAATTCATGTTGAATATTTTCCATGGTTGGTCAGACTTGGACTTAAAATAGACATGAGAAAGGTCTTCAGGTTTACTGTCAGTAACATTATTAACTTCATAGCCAGCTGGATGACGGCATGGTCTGTGACCAATCCAATTTACAAGGTAACCTTGCCTGAATCCTCCTGGTCCATCAAATATAAATAACAAAGTGAAGGTGCGAGAATAGAATTGCAAGGAACAGTGGGAGAAGCAGTAGTCAGAAAGCAAAACAAACACAAGGAAAAATGATCTGTGAGGTCACTCAGAAATTAATCATGTGTGTTCTCACCCTACGGCCTCCACACATAGGGGGTTCCTCGTGCTTCACAATCAGCCCCTGTAGTCAGTAACCTTTCATGCTTCCATTACGTGCTTTCCCAAGGGAAAATAAGGGTCATATGTATCTTTATCTGCAGCCTGTTCACCCTTTTAGACAATATTCCTCTATACTGTACTCTCTCACTTGCCTCAGCTGAGGAAAACAAACTTACACTTTCACGGGCAATTGGAGATATATATACTCAGTTTCTTAAGTAAACTGGGAAGAGAAGATGGAGATCCATCTCGACGGATAATTTTCCCTCTTGCCCTATCTCATTTACCTTAAAGAAGTCTTCTGAAATGAGTTAATACAGGTAAAACATCTGGCAAAGAACCTAATACAAAATAAGTGCTCAGAAATTACTGACACCCTCTTTCTTACTCTTCTTACTAAACTATATACATTTCAACAACCCCCAGAAGTATCTTCTCTGCAGTATCAAACAGGTGGCTGAGGTTGACAGACCAGAGCTGATCCCTGTCCTCAGTAAATTTCTTATCCCTTAACCCTAGTAATAGAGATAAAGCACTACTTAAAAAGGAAATCTCAGTCAATACATGTTATATTTTCACTACATTTGCACCTTTTCACCACAAGAGTGCAGCTGTTACACTACATAAAGGCTGTGTGCAATGTTTGATAACACTGAGCACTGTCTTTCTCGTGACTAAAGCATAAATCCTAAGTATCCCGCTTACTTAATATAATGGCACATGTCTATTTGGGGTGCTCCCATATATTTTAAGTGTGCAAAGAAGATAATTATGTTTTAAGTCAATCTGAGTTAGATTTTTGACTCATTAAAAATATTATGCTCCTTGGACCCAGATTGGGAAGTGACATCTGAAATTAAGTAAGTTGAGGACTTGCTAGGCATTCTCCGGGACTCAAGTAACACTGCAAACAACTTGTTTCAAGCAAAGTGGACACTCAGCTTCGGCTACAAGATTACTCTTCCGCAATAGATGGTTTCCACACCTGAACTGTGACACCACTTTTCTTGGCGGAGAACTTCGGCCTTGGTGCCACAAAATAAGATGTAGAGGCTGATCCTTGCTTTGGAGAGGTGGGAATGCCCATGGGCACTGGCGACGCACTGACTGGCGAGGTGGCCTCTGCAAAGAAGGGAGGCTGAGAGCTATATGCTGGTACCGAGTACACGGACGAGGCCTGCGCATTTGTGGGCGAGCCAGCAGCATTCACTGGCCGCGGAGGAAGGGCTTGCTTCATGGCTGGCACCGAATTGACCTTGACGGATGACTTTTGGGGGAGGCCATCCTTCGCATCTGGAGGTTGGAAAGTAAACAAGGATGCATTTAGCTGATAGGGTTGGTGCTTCATGACGTCCAAAGCATTGAGGGGTTTTTTGCCCTTTTTCTTGCTTGTCTTGGAGGCCTGTGGGGCTGATGACTGAGACTTGAGAGCGGCCAGAGGGTAGGAGGGGGAGTGGATAGGATTGTAGGCCACAGGAGGAGGTGCCCGGACATTGGAGGAGTACTTCCACCCGGCGGGTAGAGAAGGGGTGGGAGACTGGGCACGAGCCGCGTGGGCCTGCACCGTGTCTGAATCCACCACGTACTTCTCCATCCTCGACTGCCTTTTAGCAAAGAGCTGGGCTCCTTTCCCGCTCATTCCTGGAAGCTCATTGGATGGTCCCACTGTACCAGCATGAGCGGCGTTTGCTGTCGGTGTGGGAGCGGTTGGCTTCGGTGTGTAGTTTGGACTGGCCACTGCTGCCTGTGGTCCTTTGAAGGGACCAGCCAGGGTCAGAGCACTTGCAGGCCGGGCGGGAGCACAGGAAGGCTGGGCTATTTTGATGGAGGAGACTACGGTGCCCTGCGACGGGTTGCACGTGGGGAAGGCCGGAGGTTGGCTTGGAGCCATTCCTGGGGACCAGACGGGAGAAACTGGAGTTACTGGCTGGGAGGACGAGGACTTGACTGCAGGCTTGGGAGCCACAGGAGGTGGAGTCTTTTGTTTTGCCGAGGAGCTCTGCATGAAATTACAAGCCTCTGCTCCTAAACTGAGGTAGTCTTCTTCCGGTCCGGAATCGCCTCCAGCTCCAGCGCCCTTTTTGCCTTCCGAATTTTGAAGAAGTGACAGGAGTTCGGGATTCGGGCTCACTTTGGGCTCTTTAAAGGTGAACATGGGTTTTGTCGTGCTCCTCCTTTTGGCTTCCTGCAATATTCCGGTTCTTTTGGCAGGCACAGCGATCCTTTCATCCCGGGAAGCTATTTGCTCAGATGAATCGTAAAAGGCTGGCTGGGACCACGGGGCAGGCTGGGGCCACGGAGGAGGCTGTGCTGGGCCAGCTATGGGACTTGACACTGCTCTGCAGAAGCCCTCGGGTGGAGGCGTGACTGCAGAATAAGGTGGCGGTGCAGGGAAGTCGGCAATGGGGCTCGTCATATTCCGGGTTGGGGAGAAGGGGGTTGCAGGCTGGTTCACAGACCCTGGGAAGGGTTTGGCTGTTCTGTTCATAGGAATCATCCTCTGGGCCTCTGCTGCTTCGGACACCCCACTGAAGCCATTCTGTTGGGGCCCCTGGCCAAGACCATGGCTCACCTCTATGTAGCTTCTGCTCACTGAGCTCTGCACTTTCACGGACTCTTCTTCCTTCCTCTGGTAAGAAGCCAGAGTTCTCAGGCCGTCTGTCTGGGCAGCATCTGGTTCTCTGCTTGGCACTCCACTCACCCTCTCCTCCTCTTTCTGGGCCTCGATTTGATCCATTCGCTCCCTCCTCTTGGCAAACATGAGGGCACCCTTGCCTGTGGTGTCTGGCAACATCTCCATCTTGTCCCCTCTGTTCAGTTTCTTTTCGATGTCCACTAGTCCAGAATCCCAGTCAAAGTTCACAACTTGTGCGCTGTCGTCAATGTCAGACAATAACTCTTCATCCACCTCTGATTCACTCGTGCCCAGAAATGCTACTTCACAGGCGTCTTCTTTGTCACCTTCTTCCTCCTCCTCTGCCTCTCGCTCAAGCTCACCAGTGCCGTAGCTGACTAGGGTATATTTCTTGGCCCGCCTACGACGCTTCTTAAACATCAACACCCCCTTGGAGTTGGGGTTGGGGGCATCTGTTAGAAGGAGGGCAATGCTTTTGCATTTAGATTTTGCTTCTTTCACCTGCTTTTCTGATAGGCTTTCACTCCTTCTGAGCCCTAGGGAAAGTACAAAAATTATAATGAATTGATGAATTCCAAGAAGACCTCAGAGCAACTCAGAAATCAACTCTCCTGGGGGAAAGTGAATATGGAAAAAAAATTGCTTACAATTAGCCACTGAATTCTGAAGCAATCTAATTTCTCTCTCTTTTTTTTTAAAAATGTATACTTTTATGATGACATACATTGATATATATAACTACGCAATGGTCTGTTTCACTTGTTCATATAAGACATCTACCTATGCTGACTAGAATATACGTGACATATGGATCTTTATACTTCAACAATAAACACTGGCTACTAAATGTCAGTTAATAGGATGTAATCTAAAACTACAAAGGAAATAAGTTAAGGACATAATATTTTCTGTAAAACAAGTTAGGACACACCTTGTACTTCCATATAAAAATAAAATGTCGATATAAAATTGCTTTCAAGCATTTTTAAAACATGTGGTGGAGAAGCCAAGAAACATTTATTTACCTAAGTGTTTTATTGTAATGAGTTTAAATATTTTCTTTTCTTTTTTAACTTTGATATCTCCCCTAGAGTCTTTGTATTCTAGGGGAGACTGGATAATATAAATTCAAAAAACAGAATGAATAACAATTGAAGGCATTGAATCAATAATTGCTAATAATTCAGAATACTGGATCATTGTGAATAGATACAAGAAATTTAAGCTACAAAGCTGTCTAGATAAATTTGTTTGAAATATATTGCTATTTTGGAAATAGAACACTACTCCAGTTGCAGCAAGGATAAGCATAAATCTTGGGGAAATTTAAAAATTATGTGACTGGTGACCCTCTTAACTCTGGGGAAAAGCTGATGCAGGAATTAAATCATTTAAATTTTCTCAAAATCATGAGAGTCTGACAGTTTTAAAGTAACATTTATATATAAATTTTTAATTTTTTCATTATTGTTACAAAAATAGATTGGTGGCAAGTTCATGTCATCATGTATAGAATGGTAAGAGCATGATTCACAAGTAAGTTCTGAGTTCTTTAAAATAGTTACAGAGAAATTTCAGAAAAATCTGTTGAATATTTTATGATTGAAAATTAGCTTTTTTTAGTCACTGGAAAAAATCAGACTCAATGATTCATTTTCAAAAAATAAAAGAGAATCAGAATGAACAGTTTTATGACAAAGTTACCGATATTCCCTGGCAATCAAATTTTATTTGGAGAAAACAGTAAAAAGTGTGATCATTCCTAAGTGTAATTCCTTTTTCTGACTAGTGTTACACAACTTACTATTGAATTGACAGTCACAGTTGCACGGTTGTTGCTAAAACTTCACTGCCAACATGTAAAGTATGTGAAGGCTGCCTTCATACACTTGTTTGATAGGCTATAAATGTGAAGATGCATACAGATGCTTCAAGTACAAGGATGATTAACAGCACTTGCCAATAAAGCTACAAATGGTTATGCTAAAAATACGCTTTGAAAGGAATAACGATAGGCTAGAAGATTTCATATGCAATGCTTTGAATAACTGAGTTCATTACCACTGTGGATCATTCATACATTCAAGTGCCTTTGCCAGCCAGCCTTTACCCTCCTCAAATGGAATTCCAAAATTTGTTTAAAACAGAGAGAAAATAAAATGATAAAAATCATAAAACCTAACTGCCATTCTTATCCTCAATCTCCTTCCTGTGATCAGTCCCCTGGGTAAAACAAAACACCTTCAACAGCCTTGAATTTAAATACATTTTGTGTTTGGGGACATTTAAATGCCTCCACATGGCCCCGGAGACTGACTTGTGTGTCTAGAAGGTAGATGAAATGCTGTGCAGTCGAATGAAGACCACAAAACGGAGAGGATCATGTAACTGCTCAGCGCTCCACATGTTCTTGTCCATCAAACTCACTTTTGCAAGCATCATCAAGCTGCACGATGATTTTTTTTTCAAAATTAGGATCTGCTTTTAATATCAGTAGTGGATCCTGCATTTTAAAGACATCTCTCAGAAGCAGACTCAATGGTTTTTGACATTTAAACTCGGAGTCCACATGACTCCAAATACTCCCCTGTGCCATTTTACCTGAAATATTACAACATTCTGAGACAAATCAAAGGGACACATTTAACAGTATTATTTTCTTTAACAGCTCCTGTGCCTTTGGGGATAAAAGAAACTGCATCAAATAACATTTAAATCTACCACAAACTTCACTTATTGCCTCCATTTCAGAAACTGGTATTCTCCACAATTTCACATTTGTTATTCAGTGCATTAATATGTTTTTTAAATCACAGAGAGACATAAGAAAAATCTTTAAAAAAAAAATCCCTGCAAGGGAAGAAGCAGCAAAATGCCCTAAGCTCAAGCCCCTTCCGACAGCCCAGCAGTGGCCCCAGAGAAGGACTTACGTGCGTGGCGCGCTCTGTGCTTGTGAGGTCTGCTGTGATCCCTTTCCAAGCGTGGATCTTCTCCCTGCTCTGTGCCTTCTGATGAGACTGCAAAGGATACCAGAGAAGGAGGTGCTTCGGACTGCCCTCCTTCCACTGGAGAATCCACACACCCCTTTCCTGCCTGAAGCCTGCACCCTTCCGTCTTCTGCCTGTCCAGGCAGTCGAGTATCACTTCCACTCGGGGCAGCCCCTTGTCTCCTGCTTCACTTCCCTGGATCACTTTTAACTCTTTGCCACTGGAGATCTGGATTATCTTGCTGGACCTCAGGGAAGGCTCCCCTTTCTCATTTGTGGGGACCGAATTTATGTGGACAATCCCGTCGTGTTGTGAATGAGGATCTGGGTCAGGAGACTTAGACTTTTCAGCTCCCAGGAGAGCCACCACGGGGACATGTGTACCCTTGTGTCTGTCTTGTGAAAGGGACAGTTGTAACTCAACCACAGGGCCTGTCTGCCCAACTTCTGCCTTCTCCCTTAAGATAATCTCCTCTGCTAAGTGTCCTCTTTGTGAATCGGGAGTGTAGGGAGCCACATGGTAGCTCAGGCCTGTTTCTTCTTTTATGCTCTCAGAAAAACCAGGACCACTCCCTTGGTCCTCAGCTAGAGGAACTCCGCTTTTGATTGAGGCAACGTAGAGCTCTCTGTGCTGGTTCTTTGCGGCTGGTCGAATCTGCAGAGTGGTACTTTCCACGCACTGCTCATGAGTGAGATGCTCAGGGTTTTTGTTTTCAGTTTCAGAGATGGAAGTCTCATTTACTCCATTGGATGGTCTGCACACAGAAAAATCAGTCCAGATGGTTAAATCGGAGTGTGTTACACCTGCCAAAGAACTTCCTGACACTTTTATGATACATGATACCATTAAAGTATTTCCTCCTAAATGTCAACTGCAACATACTTGACAGCAGAATTTGGCAACATGTTTATATTTTTATTTAAGGATCTTCCAAATAAACTTTTCTTTAAAGCAAGGCAAAAATGCTTACAAAAGATTATGGAACCTAAATCCACCCTAAATTCAGCTTTGATTTTTTAAAAGCACCGGTTATAGCTTCATGAAGTCTTTTATCTGTAATTACTTGCATGTTTTCAAATAATCATGTTTGTTCTAATCTGACAAAGCATTTCAATGTCTTACTGACTAAGTTTAGGTCTGAACATTATGTCACATAAACATATTCAGCAGCTTCAGAGCAATATTAATATACACATAATTCAAGTAATCCGTTTAGAGGCTGTGCTTTCTTGAAAGGAATGAAATAGAAGCTGTTTTTCAAACTCCAGTGAGCATGTGTTTTGTAATAAGTGGACCCCAGCCCAGTACTCTTGTGTAAAGAGAAATCCTTTCCATGCTGCAATGAATCATTGAGTCATGGCGTATTTATAATCGGAGATGTCTCCCCTTCTGTTTGAACCTGGGTCTCAGAGCATTTCCTTATAGGATCTCTGAAGTCAAACTGTTCCTTTAACTCTCAGCTAAGAAGTCCCGAGCTGCTCACCAAAATTCTTTGATTCTGACCTTAACCATTTCCAGTTGGTTTTGCAAATCTAGGTTTGCAAGAAGCAATGCCAGTTCAAAAGTCAAACAACTTCTTGCTAAAACTCTAAACTCTAACTGCTTTTAGAAGAGCAGCATCATTTACAGAACAGATGTAGGTGATGCCTTCATGTCTCGCATTTGTAAGTTAAAAAAAAAACAAAAACAAAACAGCAGCGTCTATCTCTGTCCCTTCTGTCCTCCCTCAAAATGCACCCTGATTAATGCCAGGTCATCAATTGAAGGGAGGAACCCCTACTCAAGGGACTACTCAAAGGAATATACCTTAGAATCTATCTGAGAGAATTTCTAAAGTTCAAAATAATTGCTCCTAACCTTGCTTTTGACTGTGCTTAGTAAAACAAAACTAAACAAAACAATAAAAAGCCAACAGTCAAATGAAATGCAGCTATCTATAAGGAAGTAATCTATAAAGTTTTCTGGTAATTAAAAAAAATTATAATATAGCATTTTATAAACATGGTGATGGCAAATTAGATCTTTCTTATATAGGAAATGATGAATACACTCTATGTACCACAAGGTCAGAGAGTTTTAATTTAGGAAGGCCTCAGATGGAAGGAGATTAAATCACTTTGAATTATGTTAGCAATCAATTAGGAAGCTGAGAAGAGAGTCATTTGAATTTATTCCAGGCTTATAGACTATAATACAGGCAAATGGTTTAGATAAATGTTAACACTTACTGGTAGCAGAAAAAAAATGGATATACAAGAATAAAAAATCATAAAAGCAACAGAGGTTAGAGATTTGTACCTTAAAATGGTCATTTCTATTCAACCTACATAGGTACAATGTTCAGCTATCCAGAATGGAGGTGGTGGTGGTAACGGTGATGATGATGATGATGATGATGATGATGATGATGATGATGACTGCCTTTGGGCTGATTTTAATTTGAGATTCCATTTGAATCTCATCAATTATTTTGTAAAAGTCAAAATACTTAAGAGAACAACAATAATAGTCATAATTCCAATTATTAAAAGTAGCAGGAAACTAGTTCATTTATTTCTGATAGTAAATATGTGCCAGAGGCTCGGCTCTAAATCACCAAGGATTTTCCCAGTGATAGCCACTGTAATCAAAACAAGAACTAGCAGGGAATGTCCCAGACCACAAATATGTTCTAAAGAAATTGGCCTCATTAAAAGAATAAAGACAGTAAAAAGGGAATAAATTAGATAAAGGTTTTCCCTTTATTTGGAGCATGATTTAACCTTTACAAAGAAGGAAGTTTTCGATACCTCAGAGATTTATGCATGACTATGGCAAACACTGTCTGCACTTGTCAAGATTCCTGTTAGTTTCCTTATAAAAGCAAATGGTAGCTTTAGAATTAAGAAGGATCCTGAATATTGGACTTAAACATTGGGCGTGATGGGTAAATATTTAGATGGAAGATTCTAAGAATACACATTTCTTTTATTTTCATGAGATTATGGCCATACCGAGTTCATGTGTATATAAAAATGGAATCAATAGTGAATGTTTATCAGACGGGCAATGCTGCATGTAGTGTTTCTGCAGAGTTAAGACAAAACCTGGAGAGCTTTAAATTCTGTGAGATGTCCTCTGACATCTTTCTCCTGCAGGCTGTTCTCCAGGAAGCCAGAACTTTGCTTTCCGGATTCATTACAATGTAAGGGTCAAGAGCCTCACTTGCAAAGTCAGACTGAATTTGCACACAATACTGTGATTTGCACACTGTAAAAATGTTGACAATACAGTGTTTTGTGTGTGTGTGTGTGTGTGTGATTGCCCTGTTGTTTTCTTTTGTTTTAATGTTTAAAGTTTACTAGTGCATTTTTAAGCAGTTAGGTGGGAAGGGTGGTATTTGGAGACATCAGAGTAACAAGTGATTTCCATTAATAGTCTCGAACCTTTATTCTAACCATCTGCTTTTATCCATACTCAAATGGTTTTACTGGAGGTCATGACAAGCAGAAATCTAGCTGCTGTTAGGGTTTTTGTTGTTATTTTCCTTTTCCTAGGCATTCTCTTTCTATAAAAAATTATTGTACAATATAACAGTTTAACACTTAAACACTTTTTAATGGAATTGATTGCTATTATTTTTAAAATTTTAATTCCAGTGTACTGAACATACAGTGTTATATCAGTTTCAGGTATACAATATAGTAATTTAATACTTCCATATATTATCCAGTGCTCATTACGACTAGTGCCCTCCTTAATCCCCATCACCTTTCTCCCTCGTCCTCCCTGCCCACCCCCCCGGCCCTGCCCTTCTGGTGACCATCAGCTTGTTCTCTATAGTTAAGTTAAACATTTTTGATTCATTGGTGAATCTGGAATTATAATTTAGTGATCCTGATCCACACAAAACCCTGATCTGGAAGTAATAAATTATGTTCAACATAGTGGGCTTTCTAAATAGCTAGTCTAAAATACCTAAGATTTTCAACAAAGTTCATGAAACAAAGACTTTCAAGTTAATTTTCAAACCAGAAAATTAAGTTGATTAGAATTGCCATTTTTTTCAAACACGGTGGTTCTCCTGTTTGACTAATCTAATCTTCTACAGAGCAACTCCAATTTCCCCATAAATGACGGATTATATAGGTAGTAAAAGCTGTAGTCAGTCCCATCTAGCTTCAAGAGAAAACATATATTCAAACAACTCTTTTGTACCTTTTGATGAGCATTTGGAGAGAGTCTGTTATGCTCTCCATGAGCTTGATGACTTGGGGGTAGGTGAGGTCTGCACAAGGGTTGCCATTGATTGACACCACTTCATCCCCCTCACAGAGCCCAGACCCAGACGCTTTGCTCTGGCTTCGGATCTGAGTGAAGTGAAAAAGAACACAATCGTAAGAATCACATACGTGTAAAAAACCCTGCCACCATCTCTGAGAAACTTTTATTCGGGAGAGGTAAATAAATCTGCAAACTATAACATTAACTCTGGTTTTTAATTCACCTTTTGACCTGTAAGATCACTATAAACACTTCTTATCCCTCTCACCCACACAATGTACTATGTACTATCATGTCAACATTTAATTCATAGCACTGTAAATAAATGGAAAAGGAAAGTAAACCTATGACAAAGGAACTGGAATAAAAAAAAATTAAGAATAGAGAAGAATGAGGGCAGACGTATTAAAAGAATTGAGTTGACATTAAAAAATAATTATGTCACATTGTAAAATCTGATACTAGTCAGAAAGTGACTTCTCACATTCAAAAAAAATTTTAAAGTCTTTCCCATTGCTGAGGTGGATGGAACATTACTTTAAGAAGGAGATATAGGGCAGAACAGTTTAAGGAGAGCACTGTACAGCTAAATGAACTAATGAAAGCCATCCCAGCATAATGAGGAACTTAGGCAGCCAGGATATTAAGAATTATGTCAAAGAGAAAAATCCTTTATTGAAATCAACTATGCAAGTCCTAATACTAAGCAAAGTTTAGCAAAGAAGAAAGAAAAAAGATTATTTTGCAAATAATAAAAACATCCCCGCTATAAAGTTTGCATCATGTTCTTGCACAAAATGACATGGAATGAAAACCTAAAAGAGAACTTTCAGAACCTGGAAAGGAGAAATTCAGAGGAATAGAATAACGGCAAAGCGCTCCCACCAGCTCCTCAATGAGGAATAATTGGAGGTTTACATCCTATAGAATTATGATTATGGTACAATGTTATGCTGATTATTCTCCCATTGCCCTTTCAGGTTCATTCTCCACCCTCTAGACAGCTTTGTGCCAGTGGGGGACCGGCCTCTAGAGACAGCACTGGCTGAGCTCCCCTGCACGCTCCTGGTTGAATCTGGGCAACAGGAAGCCCCAGTAAAACATCAAAGAACAGAGCAATAAAAGGTCAGGTAGATGTTCTCCCTGCTGAATCTGCTGGATCATGGTTTGGCCAATGGCTGCACTCCTCCATCTAGAGAGTCATCGCTCCTCTATGATGCCTCAACTCTTCTTATGTTCCAATAACACATTCCATCTTCCTGTATCTTCAGGCCTAAAGGTAATAGTAGCTGCCTGTTTTTATCTCCCAGTGCTTCAGTATCATTTGTTGGTTCATTTAAACCTGGCTTTAGTCCTTGCATTATATTATTTCTTTGAGCAAGCCACCTATTTCCTGCTGGGGACCTAAGTGATATCAGTGTGTTTAGATTTCCCTTTATAATGTGAGTTTAATAGTTCTCAATGAACCATGTAACATGTCATACAATTTCAAACTTAAGAACAGTTTCAGATACTATTGTAGATATTTTCTATCAAGATGATCCCTTTCTATTAAATCAAGATTCTGAGTCCAGAGAGCTCAAAGTCTGGTAAGCAATGGTTCTTGAAGAATGTTTTCACAGCCAGGCTCATTTTAGGCATGAAACACATTTCAACTTACCTCCAACAGCTGCCCACTGATTCTTGCTAAGTTTTAATGATAATTGATATGTTGACCAATATAGGTTTAACTTTATATTTCCTGGTCCATTTATTTTTTAAAAAAATTTTTAATGCTTATTTATTTTTGAGAGAGAGAGAGACAGACAGACAGATAGAATGAGAGTGGGGGAGGGGCAGAGAGAGAGAGGGAGACACAGAATCTGAAGCAGACTCTAGGCTCTGAGCTGTCAGCACAGACCAAACTCATGGACCACAAGATCATGACCTGAGCCAAAGTCGGATGCTTAACTGACTTAGCTACCCAAGTGCCCCTCTCCTGGTCTATTTAAATTTTAATGGTCCTCTTGAAAGTAAAAAATACCTGTAAGTACCAAAACTATGACACTATTGAAGTTTGAAGTGATTCGGTTAGTTTTGTTCTGGGATGGTCTATCCTTTGATTGTCATAAATTATAACCTAAAGTGGCTTTCCCTTTTCTAATAAATCTATCTCATTCTTTTTTTTTGGAAGAACATACTAGTTTAATGCAAAATATTAAATGAATTCAATATTTCTAAGGCTATAAGGAAGCAACAAAAGAAATAAGAAAGAGAATATGCACCCATTTAAAAAAAATATCTATTATACTGCCAAAAGTATTTGTTCTGTCTTGAATGAAATAATTAAAATAAAGAACCACAAGAGAGTTGTTAATAAGTCAGGTATAAAACAATACTCAATAATGAACATGTAAGTTATGGTGAGAGTTATTAATTCACATTTCAATAATTTAAATTTATTTATTTATTGTTTTATAAAATAAGATTAGGTGGATGATAAGGCAAATTTTGAAGTATAAACCCACTCAGTCAATTGAGTCAGAAGTACTAGAACACAGACAGAAAATTCAGCTCTTGGAGGACCAAAGAGGTTTTATGTTTATAAAACAGATGTATCATTGTACCCCTGAAGGTTCAATCTTAGGGGTAAGTAGAGGGGGTTTCCCTTATCAGCAATAAGTTGTGTGAGTTTTAAGCAATTTCATGGGTTTGCAGAGCAAGTTGAAAAACTGTGGTCCTTGGAAGATAAATAAATTCCCAACTTAAGAGAGATGTCTATCATCCAAATATGTGTTGCTTGATGGGAACAGTGCAGTTCATCATTATGCCTGTCAAGTAGAGCTTTTAATGGTATCCAAATAAGCAAAAGCATTATGGGAGGAGTAGTTAGCATTCCTTCAGAGTATGCATTCTGAGGTCAACATTCAGAATCAACTGCTGTGATTGTGTCTCACTGACCTTTTCCATCTGTCTGAATAGCAAGAAATCTTTTCCTCAAGGACCATGTTAATTAAATATGATATTTCCCTTGCCACAAAGGTTTTTCTGAAGGACTACTCTTCCTCCATTTTTAATAGGACAACAAAACAAAGATTGTATGACAGTGTCTATTATGTCCAAACATATCCTTTGCAGTCACCAACTTTACCAATATGGTTCTGTTCAAAGGTATATGATGGATAAACACTTATTAGTGTACAAAAGATCCTTACCTTACATTGCATATAATTATGTATTGTTATACTATATATGTTTGAGTATTATTATGTATGTGAGTAAAAATTCTAACTCCTGAAAATACTATTTGTGAAAATGAAATATGCTGTCAGTGATAAATCTGTATATACAGATTCATTAGCATTGACAATGCTGAATCTCAGTGAACTTATCAGCCACTCTTCTTAGGCCATTCATCATAGATTCATAAAATACATGTCATAGTGGGAGAGAATACCAACTCTGAAGGAAGAGGGGTTTCAATCACGTGGCCCCAATAATTACAAGCTGACTAACTTAGATAAGTTATGTTTTGAGCCTTAGTTTTCTAAAATGTAAAATAGAGCTAATAAATATTACTTCTCTAAATAATTAAAAAGAATTAGAAATGATATACATTAAGTTCCATGATGCACATACAGCTCCTAGAGGTGCCCAAGAAGGAGCTAATGGATAAAAATGAGTTGGCTTCCGGCACATACACACACTTGAAAGGAACATGCCAAGTACAAAGAAAAGCTATAAAATGTTGGTAGTTTGCAAGATGTTTGAAAAGTCTGGATTTATTTTAAGTTTTTATGCATATATTTGGCATTAACTCATCTTAATCTAAAGATAAATGTTATATCTGTCTTTTCCTCAGTAAGTACACATTCCATAGCTGAAAGGTGGAAGAAGACAAGCCTACTTATTGCTTCCCAGCAGAAATAACAATACAATCACTTAAATACTAGTGCCTTGTTTACATTGAGCACATACTATGCTAAGCCCTGTGCATGCTCATACCAGTTATCCCTACAAAACCTCAATGAGAAGTATAAATATAATTCCATTTGTGTATGTTCAGATGGACTGCCATTACTTTCATTTTAAGATAAGAAAACAGTAACTCAGAATATTAGGTACTTTGCCTAAAATCACACTGTGAGAATCAGAAATTGAACCCAGGGAATCTGACTTCAGAGTGTGTGTTTTTAACCACTATACATATTGCCTCTGTAGTCAATCGTATGAATTCTCTACCATAAATCTTAGAGTAAAGAGATGGAGGTGAGGTGTAACAACAATTAGGCAGTAAGGAAAGTCACAAAGGAAATGGAAGAGATGAGGCAGAGGTAATAAAAATTTGCCTGGTCAGTCCATTAACTGGGAAAGACAAGTTTTGTTTCATTTGATTTTCCTTCTTCTTCCTTTACTGTAAGATTTACATATAAAGTATTCTTTAAAAATTGGAAAACAATCAATATTTTGATCCAATATGTTAAAAATTCAAACTCGAATATAATTATGTTTTGCAAACTGTGATTTGACACAACATACCCATATGAGTATGTGATGTAATGCCTTTTTCTTGAGAACATTCCCTCAGAGACCTTATTCCACATCTGATACATAGACAGATAAGGAGTTTCTATCCTTAAAATATGGTATTCCCTATAAGTATCTCTCAATTTAATGAGACCACAGAATTAAAAGATGTTGGTAATGTAAATATTTACCAAATACTGTATTTTTTGCTTACTGCTTCTTGATCCATGCCAGACAAGATTTATTTTACTACCAAGTGAAAATGGAAAGTTAGAGCTTCTCTGGGAAATTCAACAATGTTATTTTCATTTCACAGGATAAATCTGAGAAGAGATTCAAGTATGCTAATTTGGTTTTAGAAATAAATATTTCCCTGGCAAAATACAAAACGCTTCTTTTTTCTATTCTCTTATTTTCACCTTCATTTCCAAGTTTTCCAGAACTGACTAGAAAGCAGGTATCATATTTGAATTCTCATAGAACCTTGCAGTTAAACTATTTGTCTTGTGTAAATGGCATATCAGTTGTGTCAGCTCGTTGTTAGTGAAACTAAATCTTATCTCATGGGCTGATTTTCATG